CTCGAGTATATCCAAGCGGAATGATTTACGGTGACGCACAGTGACCTCTGAGAATTCCCGAGTCAAAGCTTAAGCGTGTCTTCTTCAGTACCTGGCATGCATGTCCTAATGGATACTAATCATTCAGCCCTTCCACGGTGTTTGTTTGTCGAGAGTTTATAATTTCCGTACCTCTTCGCTGCGGAACACACTTCAAATTAATCATCATCACTAAAATATTCCCATCACGCTGATGATTGCAACCACACAAAAGGCCTTTGGATATTTGGATAATGTAACACAATGCTTCTATTTGAGGTCTGGGTCAGTTATGCAAGATCGGTTTCTGCAGAACTATAAACCAATAACAGTAGCTGGCACTTTTATCAAATTAGATGCCACCGTACCGAGTGCAAAAACATTTTTGCCAGCTTAAAACAAAAGGATGGAGAAGGGCCAAAGCACACTGGAGGGAGGAGAGTGAAGTTGAGCGAGAGCAGTCGGCTCATTCTCTTGGAGTACGCTTTAAAGTAGTGCCAAGGCCCTTTCTGGTGCCATTGCACTGCATCTGCCTCTGGGGAGGGATGAGGTGCAGAGCCCACACCTCCTCTCCTTGTCTCCTCTCCTCGCCTCTCATCTTGCCTGACACACGACTGTCTGGCCGCTGCAGCAGGGAGATTGTATAATCCGAGTGCGTAAAACTGTCTTTTACGGCATTGTAAAGATTTACTATTGGAGTAAATAACGGTGGGAGAACAGGGCTTTTAAATGGAACCCAATCAATATGTCAGAGGGAGCTGCAGTAGAGGACAGGGCTGTGTCTGACGCCACACACACAGGTGGACGGGGCGGATCAGTGAGCAGCAACTAGGGATACCAGGATGAACTCTCAACATCTTACCTCAGCAGAAAACCGACAAACAAAACCTCGACGTGATCAATAATTCCGGTATTTGGATGGTAAACTGCAATGCAACCTTCTACACAAGATCAGGGTAAAGTTAAACACTGCGGGTCAGGAACTTGTCATAGCAGATAAGATCTCAAACTTGTATGGTATGATATATAACATTGTCAAAGATTAATAATATCCATACACACATGCATGCACACCAACACATGCTGGTATAAATTCAACACTTAGCTCCCTCACAGGGACGCGCACACGCACTGGTGTACAGAGAAAATGCAGACATGCAATAAATTGCAAGCCCTGTGAAAGCAGAGTTGGCACTCTCTCTCACACGCACACACACACACACAGACACACACACACACACACACACACACACACACACCGACAGCCCCTATAGACACTCACACATTCACACAGAGACACCCGGGCCTCATGAGCAATAAATCGCACAGCCCATCTAACAAGTTCATTTCCGGAGGCCAGAGAGGATGGGTCCTCTGACTTTGGAGTCAGCAGCCTTGTGAGGATCAATGGCAAGAGACGGAGAGCGAGGGGCAAGGAATCGAGCTGAGATACAAAAATCAATCAGCAATTTAATCGCTTTGGGAGGGGAAGACGGAAAAAAGAGGGCAGGGGAGAATTCCACCGCTTTTTTACTTAAAAAAGCAACACTTTGATTTAACCCTTTGACATATAGTATACATCTCTCAGTTTTATTGAAGCTTTCCTCTATGACAGGAAAGGCTCCAATGGGAGCAGATCTATTTTCAGACTCAAGATCACACAACTGCTGTTTCTCTCTACAGTCTTAGATGAGATGCGGTTAATGTGTCAGGAATAGAGTAAGGAAGATTTGAGAAATTTCATTGTAGAGCTTCAGCTTTTAACTATGTGCATGCTCTTTTTTTCAAAGCTTCCACACAGTCATTATGTGCGATTTGGAGGGTGTCAGCAACTTCACTGAAAGATGCAGATAAATCCGTTCTTCTGGCGGGTGCTGTGAGGTCAGGGGTGAGCTGTTTGGGAGGAGTTTTAAGGGCATTATAGTGTGGCTGGTGAAAGTGCTGGATGGAGGAAAATTTCTGTGGAGGAAGGGGGTTGATTTGGGGCTGGGTGTTGATGAGGAACTTCTTTAGGTCAATGTCCAAGGCTTGGAATTGACACTATTGAGCGAGCGAGCTTTAGACTAATAAAATGACTGACAGCCTCGGGCTGCATAATCGAAGAAATGGATCCTCCAAGGAGAAAAAAAGCAAGCTGGGAAAAAAGAAACATAGAACTACTCCTCAAATCCGCTTGGCTAGAGGAAGAGACTTGATAGAAAGGGAGGCAGTTAATTGAAAAGTGCTGCAGTCTTTCTGTAAATGCCTGCCTGTTTGAGTATCTATATTTTGCAATTGTGCACCTGTGTGTGTTTCATATAATGAGAACTAATAATTCAGATACATTATATAGTGTATTTCCCTAAAATCTGCAAGTTTTGAAAATAATGTTAAAGGCAAATTTTGTATATTTAAGTCAGTGGTTGTGTGCCCAAGTGATTGTTGGTGTATGTACAAGAGTGTACTTGTGTGTACATATGTGTGTCCACATATGTGCGTGTGTGTGTGTTTGTGCTAAATTGGTGGGGCGTAACAGGCTGATTCCTACAGAACTCAGGCATTGCTGAAACTTAGCAACAGGAGCCAGGGGCCTCCCTCCCCAGAGAGAGTGGCTGCTGAGCCACATTCATTACCAGCCCAGAATCTTGGGCTGGATTAAAAATTCATGCTGTTTACAACAACAAAAGCCCCCCCCCCCCCTCCGTTAAAAGAATATGAACCCTACTGAACAATGGCTCCACCAAACCGTGAGCAGATCGCTGACATCTCAAAGGAGACCAGCGGTTGTGTGTGTTTTGAATTTGTGTGCCGCCGACAGCTAGTGTTGTGCTTTCTGAGTGTATGCACACACCCTCATAGGCGATGGTGATATAAATAATGATCCTGTTTACTGCAGCAGGGAGTGAAAACAGCTTAAGGGCACTTGAATAAGGACACGATTCCCTCAAAGTCTTGTGCCATGTCATGCTGTTTACACTCATAATAAAGGAGCATGTATCCTCAATGTGCTGCATATGTGTACGGAGGTGAGACTGCGCTTTCCTCGCAATGAGCTGGATTTTGTGCCGAAGTGTGTGTGTGACCCTGCCTCTGCTCGGCTCATTGACAAATGTCTGTGTGCTGTGCTGTCGGCTGATTTGTTGGCAAAAGGGCCGTGCTTATGAGCTCTATTCAGTGTTAATTAGCACACTCCACAGCGATCATTATATCAGGTTCCTGTGGTGACATCTGATTGCATTGTCTCCGTGGGGGGGGGGTGAAGCTCCACTGATGGGGGAGCACCACGCACACATACACAGTACACACACACACACACACACACACATTCCTCTCACTAGATCACACACGTATACCTAAGGAATCCTGCACATACATAAAAAAACATACGGCCCCACATGAGTGCACTCAAAAATAAGATGTGAAGACGCACCGATACACAGGGATATGAAAGGGCAGAGCGCAGGGGGGCATAGCCAGGCGCTCACATGAACAGCTACCCCCCCCCCCCATTTCGTTAATGCCACACCAAACAGGTGCAAGGTCAAACCGCGACGCCAATAATAGATGCTCCTCATCGTTCTCAGAAATAGTTCTCTCATCGCCACTAAATGTTCAACTAAGGTTGTGTGCCGTTTGTATTAACGTGACGTGGAGGAGGTGAGGGGCCATGTGTGCACAGGTCAGGGAGATCTCGCTGTGTGTGTGTGTCCGGCTCTGACCTTTGACCCGTCATTCTCTGTCAGAGACCAGAAAACAGCAGAGGGTGCAAGACGGCACATTGTTGCACTACCTTGGCCTGCTGATGTTTTCTGTTATTTCTGCTTAAATGTAGGTTGTGTGCGATGCGAAAGTAGGATACAGTAGCAGCACATACTCGGCATTGTCTTTTTGACGAAACCGTGGCCTTCAAATGCTGCCGTTTAGAAAGCCTAGTCACTGCAACTCTCTGCCGGGACTAGAGGTCATCGAATTGAAAAGATGGTGTTATTTCAACAGAACACTGTGCCCTAATATCTCACGGCTATTCCTGAGGGACGTTGGCCCAGTGACATTGCATGGCGAGGAGGATCAGGGGTGATTGTCACCACCCCCCCCCCCCCCCCCACCCACAGTCACTTGCGTTATGTGCAGGGCACCTGTTCTTTTTTTCTGTGGGCTGCTCTCTCGGGGGCCTGGTTCAGGTTTCAGCATGAACTGCCATCTCCCAGCCCTGCCATCCAACTGCAACACTGGCTGAGTGACAGGACGCTACCTTTGACTGTCATGTGCTCTACAGCACTGAGCCTTTCTCATCATGGGGCTGTCATCAGGGTAGCACATTTACTGAAATAGGGTCCACTTGGTGTATGTGTGTGTGTGTGTGTGTGTGTGGAGCAAGCATTCCTTATGTTTGTTTTTTATTAGCAGCATTCATTTATTTTATAGTTCAGCTGGTATGCTACACTTCATCAGTTTAGATTCTCTCTACAGTAATACACAGTGACATCACAGTGGATCAAGTTCTAGGTAATTAATACATTACATACATCACTCCCATACTATTATCTTTGCATGCCGCTTTGCACACTAATGATGAACTTATTGTAACAAATCTGATTTCTGCGATCAATAACCAGGTTGGCTGAGGGCTCGGTGCCTCATGGAAGTGTACTGCAACCTTGAAAAGGCCCTTGTTTTAAATGACCTCATCCGAACGTGTGAATTCATGTCGCTGACAAAGGAATGAGTCTCCGTTAAACATGGGCCTCAGGCCAAAGCAAAGAACTCATTGAAGTCACTATATTTAGGAAGGCTTAATTGAAGCCCTGGTTTTGTGTTACATAGAAGAAGAAAATTGCGTAATAGCACAAATTAATTTTTACAAAGCAATGTGTGTTTGTGTTAATCCAATTCATGGTTAAAGAGACCTTTCAGTTCAACTTGTCTGTCGTCACTTGTGGATACTTGATGCAGTGTGTGCTGTGTTGGGATCCGTCATGTGGATATGGCTCCTCTCTCATCAGATGTAAAACTAAAGACTCCCCTGGCAGCAGCTACAGCACCCTGACTGCTCATCCTCATTCAGTCTTCAAGAGGCACAGGAGAGGCCACTTGATAGCAGCGACTGAATAAAACCAGAGGAATACGATCCTGATGCTAAGCAGGTAAATGAAAAAGAATGAGCTGGCCTCTTCTTCACAGAGGAAAGAGCAAGTGGGCTTTTGTGTTTGTGAATGAAGCCGAGGTCGTTCTATGAATGCTGTCCTCGCTTGCCTCTCTGTGGGATTGAAATGCCAACTATCTCTCCATTCCACCCCTCGTTGCTCTCGGCCCTTTTTTTGCCATCGCTCCCTAAATGCGAGGCCTTAACTTACACAACTTGAAAAGAGAGACAACACACAATTTTACACTTGTGTGCACACAAACAAATAAGGCAATATTGATTGGAGCCACGGCTGCATTCACACTGATGCTCCTCTCAATAGATCAGTCATGCTCTTGCAGCTTGCCCTGCTGCAGCCCTGCAGTTTAACACCGCTAGCCTTCTCCAAAGGACACATTTAATCCACCTGACACCTAAAGAGCCCCACTAACGGCACACACAATGCACATTGCGCTCTTTAGAGCAAGAACTAGCTCTGAAAATCTAATTGTGATTGTTCCATTTCCAATTCCATTTTATATTATTACAATAACAAACTCTATTGATCCCTGTAGGGACAATGGTTTTTCTCTTGCTGGGTTAAAGCATGTGCTCAGTTACAGAACAGCAAGTCTCAATATAAACAGTAAATACAGATGAAATATTAATAAAGTAAAATGCTTACTTAGATTGAAAGAATGTTCCTTTGTGTACTATGTTATTTTAGACACAGCAGTGCATCCTCTGATCACTTCACTGTTTATTTACGACTGGTGTTATTCAGTCTTTTCAAAATGTGTTTGTGTTGTCACATTTAGGGCACATGAAATAAACTCTCCCTCAGAGCTCAAGCCTCGCTAGTCACACTTACTTATGATCCAAAAGACACATTGTCAGTCCCAAAGTGTTGGAGTGGGAGTTTGCAACAGTCCTGATTCACATTGCCACCAACCCACAGATTGGCTGACGCCTCTGAGGGAGTGCGAGCTGAATCATAACGTGACTCTTTCTGCTGCAAAAGGTCCAGGAGCATCCTTCCTCTGCCTGGTCCTGAGGGTGGAGTTAGTTCACACACACACACGTACCGCTTGTTTCATGCTTTTATAAATCTGGAGTAATATGCTTGCATGCTTTTGAGAGAGACGGATGCATTCGTGTAAACATGTGCATGATACAAGCAGGAGAAAAACTCATATGCAATTTCTGTTTGACCTTTTAGCAGATTCAATTCCCCATTGCGCGGCTGTTGTCTGTGCATCTTGAGATAATGTCAACTGTTTAGAGAACCATACATTCTATCTAATTTCTCCCATTTGTTCCTAATTGTCTGAACCTCCCCCGACCTCCCGGGCCCGGCCTCTCCCTCCCACCTGTGCAGTTCCCATAGAAGTTGTTCGCGGCTGCATCTGTTGCCTGCGTGGCTTGTCTGCGGATTAATTACTCATTAAGGAGGCCGAGGCTACTGTTAGGGGCTGTTTTACACGCATGCACGCACACACACACACACAAGTCGTAGCCTGATGAGGGTTTATTTTGCATGTGTACATATACATGCATGCTCACATGTGCATTTGCATTTGCAAGAAAACTCACACTTTGGGGATAAACACAGCTAACACACTGTCACAGAGCAAATAATCTACAATGACTGAGTGGTGAAGTCAGTGCAAAAGTGCATAAGAGTGCATAAAAGTTTCCCCTGCACAAAAATGTTCCTTAGTGGCAGAATAGCTCCATTAAGGACAATTTAGGCCTCAAAGAGAATTATGTTCTGGCGTGTGATTTCTTGATTGACGGGTGTCTCTCTCTCCCCCCCCGTCACAGTCTGCTGTGGAGGCTGCAACTCATTCCTCCCACCTCTGCTCCACCAAGGCTTCCTCCTCTTCAACCAAGTTCTGATTTTGTGGCTCTTGCGTGGTTCCACCAAAATGATGGGGGCAAAGCAGTGAACCCGAATCAAAGCTGGAAAACATCCCGGCGGGAACCTTTGAGTGATGGCACGTCTGTGATCTGTACCCACAGTTGAGTCAAAGCAGCCACCAGTACATGTTTAAGACAGCAGTGGTGCTATCTGGTCTACGTGATTTGGATTCTTCTAGAGCAGTAGTGAGCCTAATGATTTAATATTCTGAGGTTATGCAGTAAATCACATCAATCACCACTTGGGTCTCTCCTCTTCCTCAACTGACAAAATGATGTACGGTGGAGAAAAATGATGTAATTGGGACCACAAGCTAAACTACCGTATGTAAGGCCAGAGGCGATCGGGTGTTGCTGTGTTTATGTATTAAAAGCCTCACAGTTCAGCAGAGTCAGGAGAAAATTATTTTGAGAAAGAATCCGACACAGATTCAAAGATCTGTAACATTTATTTTTCTGAAAGCAAGCCACTTGTCTCTCTTGGAGCGCAAACACAAGAATGCACACATTGTCTTCTAGCACCTGCACACACACACACACCCCCCCCCCACACACACACACACACACACACAACCACAACCCTACTGCATGACACCTGCACTGTAACACGAAGGTGTTTACAGGAAACACCATCCCAGTTGCTCTTGTGTTTTCCTGTTCAGGCCCTGCGGGGATAGAGTCCACCTCACTCTGGAGCAGCCCTGTATGTGTCTGCTCATGTAGGACATGCCCCGCACATGCACGCACAGCCAGCATCTCATGCCTGAGTGAGTCTGCTGGCGGGCCCTGGGCTGGGGAGGGCTGTCGAGTGCAGCCTGTACGGGCAGGAAAGAGTTAAAGTGCCACATTCCTGACTTTAGAGGCTGTAACTTATATTGGAGTTTATTAATGGAGGAGTTTGAGGCTGATCGCAGCGTAGGTGTTTGCATCTGGTGGGAGTCGGTGTGTACATCCCTCTCTCACAAAAGCACATTGTGACACACGAACATGCATAGACAGATGCTCAGGCGTTTGTGCACGCTTAAAACAAAATGCATAGTATCTATGCATTTTGTTATAGAACAGACACAGCGGCATGCACTCTCTTGTTACTGCTCACCTGTGCGTCTCACTCTGTTTTTATCCCCTGGGTTAGTGGTTACAGATCATTACTTTAATGCGTAGTCTGTGATTTTGGGGAGATGTAAAGGGAACCTGTCAGTATCCTATTCACATTGGTTTAATCATAATTCGTAGAGGGTTATTCATGACCACTTGAATAATTTTTCGGTATATTCTGTTTCTGTAGAGTAAACACAGAACTTATTCTTTTTTTATTTAAAAGTAGTGAATCTCTGTTTATTTTGAATATTAAAATCCAAGTTGAAATTAGTTTAAAGTGATCTAGTCCTTTTTTAAATAAAACTGAAATTAACTAAGTAACTAAAAAACTGAAATTAAAAAACTGAAAATGATGAGCCTTATGTAAACATCACAAAAACACGAGAATGAAATCTTGAGAAGAATGAGTCGAGTGATATATTCAGCCGAGAGGGAATCTCAATCCAAATCTATCACATTGATCTCTATAAGCTGATGAACATTATTACCAATAATCTTTTGTTTTTCTTAATTTCTCATGCAGATGACCATTTAATGACCATTACATGAACACAACGTTATACAACACAGCTTCACTGAAGTCAGCTTCACTCTTTACAGGCTCGTTGCCAATTTTCTGCCTTTTCCCTCACCAAGGGCCGGCTTAGGGGGGGGGGGGCTTTGCCGGTTGTCATTTATTCAGTTCAGTGACACTGTGCGACACTTTCTCGTCATGTATTCAATGTGCAAGCCGCACCAGCCGAGCCAGCCGGTAAGCAAACGAGTTACCACGATGCAAATTATCATGGAAGTAAACTAAAAAACAAAACGATGATTAAATTAACATTTTGAGCATCGCCATCATTTTCATTTCAACTAGAAGTTATAAGACATTGTAAATGACCAAAGAGCTTACAGTTAACTGTCATGAACTGAAAACACACTGTGAAAGGGTTAAAGTGCTGAGACAGGAACATGGACAACACCGAGACTGGACGGCACTTTGATGGCAACCTGTCATTCACAAGGTAGTTATGCCCTTAAGCATACCCTGCTTTATCATCTCTTCATTGAAGCATCATTTAATAAATGGACAGCATGCTATATTAAAAAAGACTTGTAAATAGCAATTGAGACCAGCAATTCATGTGTACAATGTTTACTGAGGTAATAAATCAAGTGAGAAGTCATTTGCTCGTAGACTTATATAATCAGACTTCTTTTTGCCACCGGAGGAGTCGCCCCCTGCTGGTTATTAGAAATAATAAGTGTGAAGCACTTCCGCATTGGTTTTAAATTTCAGAACCGAAGGTTGCCGCCTGGTTGTCATGTTTGAAAAGATCCAAAATGAACACTGTAAGTGGATTACAATAATCTAATTATTTAAACAGTGTTTGTATATGAATAATTCTGTCCCAAGATTTTTGATCCATATAAGTGGCTGATAACCGATCCAGCTATTTGCATCAGTCCAATATCCTGATATCAGTATCGTATTGGTGCCTCTCTAGTCTCTGTATATGTTCAAGTGATTATCCCTTGTTTGCATGCTTTACAATAAAGGGAAAAGCACATCACAGAGCTGAAAAAAAGTCAATATGATGATCTGCTCTCACAATTTAGCAAATTTCCCAAAATGTTGGAATATTCTTTCAATGATGAATATCTAATGTTGGAACGGCGCTTTCATATTGTTGAAATGTGCTTGTAACGCGGCAGTTCACCACACCTGAACTGCCCATTCAGATTGGTGTCATGATGTTTCTCCGTGCTACTCTGAGGCTTCCCCATAAATATCCCGCTCTTGCTTGTGGTGTCTGAAATTGCTATTTGCATAACTTTTAACATAGTATTGCGGTTGTGTGAGCCGTGCCTTGAATGTCAGAAGGGAAGAGGAGCAGGGTTCGCAAGTGCATGGCAACAGCCCACAGCGCAAAGCTTGTCACTCACAGAAAGGGAACCACAGGTTGTTCAGTAGCCTATGAAGTGACAAGGTGATGTGGAATGTGACTTTCAGGTTTTAGGAGTTCTGAAGGCCACACGTTTAGCATCTTTCACCTCTTTACCCTGCCTCATACATTCCTCGCCGGTGTGGTGGAGGTGGGGAGTTGTTGCGCACACGTGCACTGGGGTTGTATCTGGATTTCATCACCACTGAACAATCCTGCTCCCAGTTAACTCACACAGAGGTAAGTGAGGCAAGAGCTCTTTAAAGTAAGAGCTGTCGCAATCAGTGTTTAAATACTGATCTTGAAAGGAAATGACAAGGGGTTGTGGTACATCAAAACCACCAAGACCCGTTTAAAATGAGCGCTAAAGTCACTGGTTTAGCTCTCAGTCATTACTCGGCTGTTTTTGTGGTTGATGGTGATCTGTATGTACACACAGTTTTTAAGGAGACTTAATGTGGCTGCTTGGATCACCCAGCATCTGCTCACTGGTGAGCAGGTCTTGACCAGGCGTAATCCTGTTATGTGTAAAGCCAAATCTTTTCTTTAAAACAAGCTTGGATTGACTTTTTCCCCCTATTGTAACATTTGGTAATTGAATACAGCTACAGTTAATGCTCATTGGAATGGGAAAACCCTGCCAAAAGCTGTTGCTTCCGAACAGCGCAGTAGCCAGATTCGAAGTGACCCAACAAACAAACAGGTTTTCAGTCGTTTGATTCTGCGGGCGATTTCAATGGAAAACAATGGGATAATATCTGAAAGACAAAAATATTGACAGATATCCCCTGCAATGTATGATTGTAGAGGCCCATTCGTTTATTGCATCAGCCCCCTCCCCTCATCCCCACCTCAATCCCCCCACATTACAGCCATTTACCTAATTGGATAAAACGACTCCTGGATGTAAGCCAAAGGGGTTTTATAGTACGTGTTTGCGATTCGGATGTTTGATTATAAGCACTCTTTGATAATTACTCCCAGTTTGCTACCAGCCAGCCGGGCCCACTCTCTTTATCGCTTCCTCGCCTTGCTGTGAGCAGCAGTTGTGTCTGCCCAAAATCAGCCACTGGGCTGTAAAAGGTACCACAGCATGCCTTCTGGGCCCAACATCATAGGCGTGTTTCGTGCCCAGTTTACCGAGGCTAATTATCCCTAATTCGAGGTAATGGCGTGATCAAGTGTGTGCTATTATCACAGATCCCCACTCACCCGCCTCTTTCAAAACTGCTAGTCCTTCAAAGGTTAGCGTTCCCTAGCTTTGTTGTGCTTCTGCTGATTGGTCTCCTGTTTCCACTTCCTCCACATTAACACATTCCATCCGTTACCCCCATCCCTACCCTTTAGCTTGGACCACTCTGCACTCGCGTGCATCTGAAACACAGTTAATGCATCAAGGCTTCGTGATTATAAGTGAGAGCGATAGCTAGCCTCACCTGCGCCGGCCCTGAGGGGGTCCTTGAAGCTGATGTGGTTATCAGTGCGCTGAGAGGGAAGGAGACATAATCCATTCTGTGGCACATGGGGGTCTTTCATCGACCTTCCCTGCTCTGTAAGAGTCTCCTGCAGGTCTTACCCAGGGCTGCGATATGGCCAGTCCTTACCATCCCTCCAGCCCTGCTGATATGGGCCAGCTCTATTAGGTCTTGTCTGCATGCTTGAGCTCATGTCAGTTATGGAGCCTCTCTACCCAGAGGGCATTAGCTGGCAATTGTGGAAGGTAAGGACCCCAAGGACATACTGAAAAGTTGGAAAATATTATAACTTGGTACACTTTCTCAGTATCGTGCTGTGAAACTCACAAGCAGTTCTGTCCCTATTATGCTTTGTTCGAACTATAAACTTTTTTTTGCACTTTTGCTTTACACGGACTGAATGGTTAGATTGTGTTGATTGTTTTGTTGTTGATGTGTTAAATGTCTCTTTTGGGGTTTTTGTTTTCAGACTGAAACTGTGGATCTGTGTACAATTTTGCTCATTTCTTTTGAACGAGAGAAAATAACGCATGTTGGAGTTGTTGAAGCAAAAGAAGGGTCGAACGCAGATTTTAATTACACCTGCATCTTTTAAGCTTTTTTTTTTGCTTATCCCTCTTTTAAATCCTTTCTAAGATGAATTCATATTGAACGCCTTTTCCGTACTTCACTTTCTGCCACACTTGCATGCATGCGTGCGTATACACACACGTAAACAAACGCACGCACACACACACACACATGCATGCAGCACCAGTAATTACCATTGTTCTAATCCTTTTATTTTATTTCCCTCCCCATCGTTGCCTGCTCTTTGGCAGACTGCATGCAAATGTGGTGGGTAATGAGCAGAAAAA